AAAATCCAACCCAGGCTACTTCCTTACTTGTTTACTCTGCTACTAAAAACTTTTATTCACAGCAGTGCAGAAGCTGACAGATGTTTGCTAAATACTGTAGAATCTCTGCTTTAAAACACTTATTTAGTCAGCATAACATAAGCAAATCAGAAAAAAGAAAGTGAAAAAAAATGAGCAACACAAAAATACCATAGTAGCATACTGCTGCCTAACTGGCACAGAATTCTTTCTCGCTTAATCTCCGTTAGGAAAATTTCTGAACCATTTCCCCTAAACAATACATCCAAAGTCCGTGCAATAAAAGTTGTGCCAGATCATTACAGGCACACATGACTACAGTTACACATTGATTTCATGCTTTTCATGATGCAGAAGTCACCCTTTTCTTATTGCTTAAGATTTTAAATTGACCAGCATACTATTTAGAGGATATTTACAGTATTGATCCAAACAACAACCTCATTTATAGCCTCACTTGAGTTAAATAAAACTAAAATCAAAACAGTATAGCTGAGCCAAAACCATCTTGAAGGTCCTCACTTCTGATTCCTACCTAAGGATCAGAAAACAAAGCTCAAGGAAGCTGTAAGCCACCACAAGCTCCTTCCAGCTCTGCTCCTGTTTATCGCTGCCTCCAGCAGGTCTACTCCTCCCACCCTTGGCTCGTTTCTCATAAACAGGCAGCATTCCTTCAACAACATCCTTCTTACAGTACAGGAATGCTTGTGCCTTCTCCTCTCAGGCTGCTGGATGTCCCACCAACAGCAAAGCCTAGTTTCCAGCACCTCTCCAGAGAGGAGAGACAGCACAGCTTTGCAAGATACCTCCTAAGATGTAGATGGAGGCAATGACATCCTGGTTTTACAGAGGGTAATTATCTCAGTTTTCCTAAATCACTGCTTTTTTATTCCTGCATGTGGAATTTCTCTTGTTTCTAGTCAGTAAGCAAGAACAGATCCAGGCAGAGGGTTTGCATAAAACCTGCCTCAAACTCTGCAATTTAAGAGCAGGCCAGTGACAACACCATAGCTGTGTGAACCAGAGAGACGGCACTCCCACCTTCAGTCTCAGCTCCAGGGACAGGCAGTTGCAGGGACCCCAGCTGGCTGACCTTACAGAAAGCAGCACAATTTGAAGACACTCCGTACAATTACTAACTGGGTGATCACATCCCTTCTGTCTCCTGGGCTGGGCTCTCAGAGTTGTTTTTATTTGTTTACACATTTCTGGGAGGCAGTGGAAATCTTCACTAGGTTACTATCAGAAGGAGGAGACCAGGGGAGAGGCTGAACAACCTGCAGAGAGCTACCCCTCATTCACTATAGCCCCAGTGTACTTTATAGTCACAAGAAGCCATTTTCCAAGTCTGTTCCTTGAACATCTGATGAAGAAACAGAGCTAAAATCTAGCCCAATGGACTCTGACTCAAGGTGCGGCCTCTTTCAGTTTCAATTCCAGTTTGTCTCATCAGTAAAGCCCTGCTCTCTGAAGGTCCTGCAGTGCCCTTCCCTTGCCTCTGAGCTTCCAAGGAGCGAAGTTAAAAAGCCTTGCTCTGGGACAGGGTGGATACATCAGAAGGTGAGGAGTTTCCAGGTGCCTCAGCCAGCTGATGGATAGTGCTTCAGCCTGGGGACACCTGTGCCTGGTGCAGCAAGAATGCTGCAGGTCTGCAGCAGCCTCACACTCATCCCTCCAGTTGCCAGCAAAGATGCTCACAGAAAACCTGAGCTCCAAAAAGATCGGAGATCCATATGAGTTAGGATCACATTTGTGAATGACTCTGAAGAGCACAGAGTAGTTTTTTTAGAAATGCTGAAGCATTTCATTTAGTCATTTTCAATAGAGAAATCCTCCATTTTCCCTTTTAAAATGTCATTTTTTCATTATGGTAAAAAACTATCATGGATTTAATAATCTAAGCATAAAAGAAGCAACCATTGTTTACAGAAGGAAAGGCCAAAGCACATTATCTCACAAAATGCTTTATGCTGGCCCAAAATTCAGCCTCTTGGATGAAAAAGTGGAGCAAAAAATAATTCTGCCATTCACTCATCCAGCTCTTTTCATGAGACTTGGAAAGGAAATGCCTGAGATACTGCGCCTTCCCCATCCCCATCTCCTCAGCCTGGTGGCTGTTGAGCTGCGAATGTTTCATAGAATGGGTTGGAAGGGACCTTGAAGCTCATCTGGTTCCAATCTTCCTGCCACAGGCAGGGGCACCTTCCACTAGAGCAGGCTGCTCCAAGCCCTGTCCAGCCTGGCCTTGAACACTGCCAGGGATGAGGCAGCCACAGCTTCTCTGGAAAACCTGTTCCTGTGTCTCACCACCCCATGGCTTTTCTAGAGCTCAGAGCAAACAGACACTCACCCAACACTTCCCATGTTCTCCTTTCAGCATACAGCATTCCGAGACATAGCATATTTATGCGGTTCACAACATAGTGATTTTTTCCATTTTCTTCAAACAAAATATCATTGAATTTCTCATTCCTTGGTGGCTTGTGTCTATCACACACCTCAGGAGACTAAGCAGAGGGTGATGACCACACAGGAATTCCTGCACTGGTTAATGAGCCATGGAGAACTCAAGTGTCTGAGCAAAAACACCTTCAAGCTCCAATGTCACGCAGCAAGGCAAGGACAGGCATTTACTGGCTGGTGAAGAGGGATGTTAATGCCCTGTGTTCTCTTCTCATCTGAATAGAGGATAGTAGATGGACATCCTAAACAAATTCAGCCAGTCAGAGAAGAAAAAGAGACTGGTGCATAGAATGGCCGGGGTTACACCTGTGGTATCAGGAAACAAACCCAGGACATACTAGTCCAGAAAGACATGCCTGGCCAGAAAGGCACGTCAAGCTTGCCTTCAAACACACAAATGTAAAGTTTACTTTCCCATCCTACACCAGTGACTCTGACTATATTCCTACTCACAAATGAAATACCATTTGTACATGACTGGATCTTGCAACTCTAAACTGCAACACCTGCAAAAATGCAAAGGGCTGCTCAAGAAAGCATACACCCAAAGCAGCCAAGTAAACGCAGATGACAGCCCATAGGAATAGGACAGTAGGAAAATGAATGGGCAGGGATGGTAATTAGTAGCTGTGTATGCAATACAGAAAGAATTCTTTTTACAGGAGCAGCATGGTTTTCATTTAGGCATCACTGGAAACACTACAACTGGCTCACATAAATGCTTGATGTACTGCCAAAGCATAAACCTTGTACTTCAGGGAGGAGCAGCTCTACCTGTCCTCCCTGAACCATCAGTTTCCTCCCCACTTTCATCATTTTGTCCCTTTGCTGCTCTTGCACATAACTGATGCTTTCAGAAGGCAGAAGGTCTATGGGATGGTTTATAAAGCATGCGACTCTGAAATGATGAAAGGTAGAGAAAAGCAGCAAGCATTTTACATGATCCACAGACTCGGCAGCATTATTTTTGTTTCCTCATAGCCACAGCTGCCCATTAACACTCCAGCCCTTTTTCTGCGTTTGCTTACCCCACATACCATGGTTTTCTCCAAAGCCCTCCAGGCACTCCATGTCCTAGTAGTAACTCCTGGCTCTGAGACATACCTACAATTTCCTTATTTGCAAGTGAAAATAAATTAAAAGATCACCTAAGCAAAGAATCAGCAGATGATCCATCATAATATTTCTCTCCGGAAATGAGCTTATTACCCAGGGACAGTGAAGTGTGCATCACAATTACTGCATAGCCAGCCAGTCCAGAGTGCTCTCTAGTGTAACAGTGACAGTCTGTTATGAGTGAATACTTGAGAGAGAACATATAAAACTGGAAGAGGACCACATCAACAGTCAGAGATAAAGAACCCTAGAAAACATTTTTCCTCGCAAATCCCATAAAATGCTATTCAAAAGCCCAACTGAATGACAGAGTAACTGAATATTGGATTATGGATCACCCTCTGAGCAGTACTGTGAACTGAGGAGCTTCCAGAAGGGGACAGCATGTGTAACATGGCAAGTGTAAAATCATTCTGGTAGTCCCATCTCCAGGAATCACAGGTTTAAGGATTCATAGCCAGAAACTGGATCCAGATGATGCACTTGTGGACCCATCCTCTATGAACTTCCTTAACTATTAGGACACCTACAGCACCCTTTTGTTTTCTTTACATTTAGTGCCTAAAAATTTAACAGGATGTACCCTAATACTTCCTGTAGCAATCATTCTTTCTGGCGTTCATGACTTCATGCATTTCTATCTCTTCCCCTGTAGTCATCTCTTCTCAAGCTTAAAAGTCTATCTACTCAGGATCCATTCCATTACCATTATCTACTCACACACTAACAATTCACTGCAAGACAAATTAACAAAGAAATACCACTTGGACTGTTTTTCCCCCCAATGTAGAACACTGCCTCAAACAACAAGAATCATTTATTTGCAATTTTTTCTCCTTCCCTCATCTATTCTAATCTGCTGCCCTTCTTGTCTTTCAGAGGTAAATGCCTAGAAGCAAAGTTCGTTCTTCAAACTGTGGACAGTAAATTCTGTGCAGCACTGAAAACACCTTTTGCAGACCTGTGTCTGTTTTAACAATTAAGGTCGTTGAGACTGTTGGTGAGGTCAGCATTCAGAATAGCTGAAAGTCCATTGCCAAACACCAGCCAGGTGTCAGCAACTTCAATAATATTTCCCCTTCTAGATCAGTGACTGGTATCAAATGCCTTGCTAAACGGAAACAGTGCTTGCCAACTCCTTTTCTAGTCAGGCCAAGTCCATTTTTAGGGACCCTCTGCTCCATAGGATTCTTTTGATCTTTGGCCAGGATTTCAGATCATGCCCACAAGTACTAATTCTTCTCATTGTGCTGATGAGCAGCACAGAATGGAGGGAAGGAGGGCCTTTACTATGCAGGCAGCAGTCCTGTACTCAAAGCCATGCAAGCAGAGCCATGAACTGTCATGAATGTAATACTAATAACACTGAGGTGGCAGTAAGATCAAGGTGTCGCGACACTTACAGGCATGAGAGACTACAGTAACACATATCCTTGGAGAAACTGATCATTTTCTCCTCTCTGCTCTCTCCCTGCTCTTCGACTCTGTTGAGACAGCAGTTCTTCAGGATACGTTTCTCTACTGCACCCATATATGTCAGGGAGCAGAATTTAGTCTCTTTATAGTAAAGCCTTCGTTTAAGCATGTTACAAAAGTAGCAGCCAGGCAGAAAAGCTGACTTTCTCAGCAGGATGTGAAGTTAGCTTTGCTAAACAGACTCTTTCCTGAAACTTCCCTGGAAATCTGCAACAGAGAAAACAATTGAAACGACCTTCCTGCTAAGACACCATACCATTTGCACAAGTACCTTCCACTCAGACTTCAAAACATAGAAAAAAGGAGGCAAGCACAACTACGTCATTCCAAACTGGAGGAACTGATCTATGGCGAGTTTAAATGACCTGTTGAAAGTTCTTCACTCGTGAGCCTGAATAAGGCTTATTCTTGGTTTGTAACCCTGTAACCCCTGTTTCTTGACACACAGCCCAGTGTAACAAGCCCTTCATGGAGACTGGATGACAGACAGAAGAATTTTAAGCAAAAGAGTGGCCTGACAAAAGCACCCTTTCACCAGCACTGGTTCTACAACAGAAGGGGGTAAGGCTGGCAGCACTAGTTAATGGAATAACACCAGCAAGGGTTTGTACTACGCCCTCAGAAAAGGACAAAAAAAATTAATTGTAAGAATGCACACTCACCTTATAAAATTATAACAATCAATACAGCAGACAGTCTCCAAATTGTCCATAAGCAGCAATATTGTAAGCAGCGCTCCCCTGGGACTGCCGTGAGTGCTTTGAAAACTGGCATTTGCGAAGTGCATGCATCAGGGAGTTCTGAGATCAGCTTCCCTGAAATCAGCTCCCATATTTACTGACCTTCAAGAGCAAAATAGGAGTTCCAGTTGTTTACATAAGCTTTACCTGAGGGAAGTGGATATGTAGGCCTGTCTCGGGGTGTAACCAGAAAGCTTATATCTACATAGGGACTTAGGGTGTGTGGAGACTGTGTTGCCATCTGTAAATTCATTACTGTGTATACATATTTGCAAACGTAATGACAGGTACACCTTCCTAAATACACTAAACTAACACATATTTAGCATTCTGGCTAAACCACTGAAAAGAAACAATGTAGTTCTGCCTTTGAGGATAGAGAGAAACAACGAAACTTGGCCGCTGATGAAGGAGGTGAGAGACTTACATTCTGCCAGTTAACTGGTGTTTCAGGTGCACACAACAGACAAACTGTACAAGACAGCAACTCCGGGCACACTTGCAGAACCTGCCCCAAGTCCGAATTATCAAGCAGCAAGATGCTTTCTCAATGGTCAGCATCGCTGACCATCTTACTGCTTGAGAGCCCGCAGTCCTCCTTGGGGAAAATCTAGCCATTATTCTGAGGATACGGGTCAACACGCTTAACAAAAGAGAATAACCACGGCAACCTTTACTGATCCCAGCAAACCACCACCAATTACAGCACTGGAGAGCCAAAGGGCTATTCTTCCCAAGATCCTGCTTGCCAGCCCTTCAACCTGAAGGGCTGCTGCCCCCTTCCAAACTGAAACAAGCTGCTGCTGCCACCTCTGGCCCACCACGGAGCTGGGCTGCACACGTACACTGGCTGCCAACAGACAACCTACAAGGAAGAGAACCAGACCCATACGCTCTCTCACGGATGCGTTAATTGATGGAAAAGCGGAACTAAATTCCTAGGACCCCCATGAGACTAGGCAGTTGAGCTGGGGGCAAGGCTGCCGTCCAAGCTTTCCAGTTACCCGGCACCAGGGAGTACACGTGGGGAAAAGCTCTTCCCAATGCTCCCATTACAAGAAACCTCACTGCCCAGCACTGCTCCGCTTTGACCCCAGAGCCAGCCAGCAGACACAGATCCCTATGAAACCACATTCGATACTTCTCCAGGCACTGGAGCCGACTTGAACCTCAGCTCCTCAAGTTACAGGAAGCCTTTATAAAGCCTCTCTCTGTAACAGCCTTGTTTTCCTGGTTGGCTATGAAAGGCTGTCAGCATGACCCCAGCTCACCCCAACGGTCACAAGGCAAAAAGAAAAAAGAATATAACTTCCATTTCCTCAAAACAGGTGCTAACCTCGTTCAAGCCTACTTGAAAATGGCATTTCTGCTGCTCGGAGCAGCCGGCACAGCCATCGCAAGCAGGCTGGCATGCACCTTTCAAAGAACACCTTTTACGTCTACTTAAAGCCAACTCGGATTATTCCAGCGGAATGATTATTGAACAAAACCCATGTTTCTTTCTCCCAAACACAAGGGAGCCGCTGCCGCACCATTCCGGGACCTGCCCCCTCCGCAGGTACACCACGACGGGGCACCCGGGCGGCAGAGAGGCTCCACGTTCGAACCCACCTCCACGGGGACTTTGCTTTCTCGGGCAGCGCGCAAACATTTCTGTTTGCTTTCGGCTCTCGGGAAAGCAACGTCCAGGGCGGCCCCGCCGAGGGTCTGCAGTCGGCCAAGCGCCGGGTCTCGGCTCCGGGCGGAGCAACCCTGACCCCGCGGGTCCGAGGGGCTCGGGGGGCATCTCCCCTCCGCACTGCCTCCAGCCCGCCCAGCCGAGGAAGCACAGAGAACGCGCCCGTCGAGGGGGGCTGCTCCGCGGGGCAGGGGCGGCACCGGCGGGGCAGGGGCAGCCCCGGCCCACTTACCATGTCGTGGCGGCGGCGGGCTCGGAGCCGGCCCGGCCGGGCTGGCTGCCGGCCGCCTCCCTCCTGCCCTCCTCCCTCCCCGCCCCGCGCCAGGTGAGGCCCCGGCCGCATCGCGCCTTCCCACAATGCCGCGAAAGGGCACTCCGCGGGCGCCTCCCCCCGCCGCCGGGCAGGGACTCGCCGCGGGCACCGCCGTCGGGTAGGAGAGAGGGGCCCCGGCGGCGTCGGGCTGCCTCCGGGACAGCTCCTCACAGGCCGGTCGCTGTGGGAAGCGAGGGTGCCGATGACAGGCAGGGGCTGCAGAGACCCCGTCCCCGCACATGGGGTGACCCAGACCCTGTGCAGGTGTTAACCACTCAAAAGGTGCCTTTCTCGCCACAGTGAAACAAAAACGCAGTTCATGTCCTCCATCGGCTCTAGTTGCTCCCCTTCCAAGCATCCATACGCTAAAGACACTGTGGTAGCGCAACCAGCATGATTGCTCTGGACCCTATCTCTATCAAAATGAAACTCAGATAGTTGAAATATCTTAAATGGCTGGGCTTTGCTAACCTGTGTCTTTTGACAGAGCTGGAGGAGAGAGCAAAACAGGAGCAGCTCTGCGGGTAGATCAGCAAACCCCTGTAAACTCTGGCAGGGATTTGCTGATAAGCAGCTCTTGCCAAAAAATGCACAACATCCACAGACTCAGCACGTGAATCAAAAGCTCTAAATCCATGTCTAAGTCTTCTCAAGCTCTTACTGGGAGTCTGATCCAGATGCAAACCACCACATAAGCATAACATGAGAAGACTTAGGATGTTTAAGTCCCATGTTTGTAGTCTAAGGAAGATACATTCCGCAGTGCGTAGCATGCATCTAGCCCCAAGCGCGATGTGTCTGGATATAGAATATGGTTCCCATTTGCTCTGGGCAGATTGACGCCCTGCTCTTGCATGATGCACCTGAGTCATCAGCGAGAAGGGGAAATCCAAAGGAGCTCAGGGACTCCAGGGGACACTGTGGTGCCAATGGCTGGCACCAGCAGAACCCCTCTTCAGCCTCTGGCTTCAGCAAAGTGGAAAAGGTCCCTTGGTCAAAAGCAATTGTTTGTGCACAACTGAGAGGGCAGCTGGGCTGAAATCCACTCCCAGTTAGAACTGCTTGTTTACAGGAGCAGAGAACATGTGCAGGGTGTGCTCCTTTAACAGTGTGAAGGCAACTTACATGTTTCCCTAAGCATGCATGACCCTATTCCTCTGCCCTCCATAAGCTTTGATTTATAGTCACAGAATGGTTTGGGTTGGAAGGGACCTCAAAGATCATCTAGTTCCAACTTTCCTTCTAGGCTGCAAAGCCCCATCCAACCTGGCCTTGGACACTGCCAGTGATGGGGTATCCACAGCTTCTCTGGGCAACCTATGCCAGTGCCTCACCACCCTCACGGTGAAGAATTTGGTCTAGATAGACATGCTAGCAGTTCACAGTGCTTGCTCAGTTCTGTTTTCTGTAAGTTCCACCCTATCCTGCCAAGCAGCACAACACAAGAAGTACAAGTCCCAGCTGCCTATAGATCTCAGCCATACTTCATCTGCTCATTTCTCTCTGGCCTGTCACTTCCTGAGTACATATCCTGGGCCCATAAAGCAGCACTATCTACAGACCACATCAAGATGGTGCAGCATACACCCCACCATGCTGCCAGACAGCACCGGCTTCGCTGTTTTTTCCTGGGCGCTATCTTGCCTTCAGTATACCTGTCAAATACATGCTTACTGCTATCAGCCTCTGTTAAAGTAGACCAAAACCTTCCCCTAGATTCTCTGAAAGATAGCTGAAACAGTAAACAGGCCACACCAAGTGCCACAGTACCCATGGTGCCTTTGCAGGAGGTAAACATCTAGTAAACATTTAGCTTCCACACGACCACTGCCGTGTTCCTGTCTCTTGCAGCCCCCTGCTCTGCCCACTGCGGCCTATGCAGAACAGAGAGCTGGCTTTGCACTTAAGCCCCAGGTGCTCCTCACTGTTGGTAAATGGGGAGAGTCTACAGATACCACTGCATGACTGGGGAAGCCACGACTCTGTGAATGCGTGGAACTGGATTTGCCTAACATGCAAGAATGTGGGCATCATAGTGCAGTTGTACTACAGATGTGGGGCATCAACACTTTCATCTCCAAAATTAATACAAAATTAAGGAATGAACATTCTCCTCACCCCTTCCAAACCCCTAAGTTCCATGAAAACACCTTTGTTCAGCCTACATTTTACTTATGTAATTTACCTTGGTGATGGCCAGTAACTTCTTTTTGCTTAACAACCGCTTTCCTGTAACCTTACTTTTCTATGAGAAGTAATTAGGCCCATGAACCCAAGAGAAATAGCCTGCTGCTTTTTTTTTTTGGCAAGTTCATCAGAAAAAAAGCAGCAGCAGCAGCAGCAAACACATCATGCATACGGTGCACATTAGCAGCAGTGGCCAATGTCAACTCACTATGGCTAGTCTTGCAGGTTAGCAGACAGAATTTTGCTGCCCTACAGAAACAAGGCTGCAGATACAGGAGCATGCCTAAATTAGATGTTTTCCAGCATGGAAAGCCAGGCTATACTTAATCACTGGCGAACTAGAAGCAGTAAGGAGCTGGAATTCTTCCCTCCCTGTCTCTCCATCACTAGCACTGAGTGCCTGCATAATGTTATGATAAAGAAGATAGCTCAAACTCCCCAGGTAGGAACTACTGATGGTTATCAGTGTCACACAACAATGGGAGCAGGGGGAGGCAGCTGTGGCACACAGTTGGTGTACCAGGTGAACTGGTGGGGTGATCTTACGCCATAAAAACGTCAGGTCCTTCCCTTAGGCCCAGTTAATCTGAACACAAAAGCTTGCAAAGAGAGGCAAACATATATATCTCACTCAAATGGGCTGCAAAAAGACTTTAAGACCCTTCTCATATTGCTTCTGTCCCTGCCTGGAGGAAAATGCTCATACTTCTTTCATGAGGGCCCTTTGAAAAGGTTTTCAAGTGAGGCAAGCAGCTTTTTCATGCTACTATGTATTGCATCCTCTTTGCTTATATTCCATTCTTCTAGCAGGCTGTTGCATTCAGAAGTATAAAATGTTCACAAGAGTTACAGTGAGCCTTGTGTGCCTAAAGCTGCTGCAAGAGCTTCTCTATCTCCTAAGTGTAGGTTTCAGTGAGTTTGGACATGAATGACTTGAAAGGAAGTTAAAATGCCAGATGCCTAAAACCGAAACAGCCTTTGTCTTAGGCCCTCCTTATCTCTGAAAGCTTTATGGACTGCAGAAGCTAATAGTGGATCATATAAGTAAAGCTATACATTCAGTAATGATTTGTAACTGACTGGGAAGTTATATTCATGTATGTTTCCAGGAAAACAAACAAATCCTGACAGCTCCAATTAAGAGACACAAATCACTGTCTAAAGAACAGCAGGGAGAGAACAGAATATAACATTCTCACCTCCTTTTAAAAAACTGCCAAAAAATCCTTTCTGAAAAAGACCTTTTTACTGCAGAAAGAAGCTTTACTGACTCTACCCCAGTAAATGAAGCAGTTCACTGGCCATTTACACTGATTCTAGCAACATCTCAGTGTCTTTTCTCAGCACCTAAACTGAACTGTTGCCAGGCACCCAGAGCTAGACTACTGCAGTAAGCAGCCCTGCGCAGAACCAGGAGTTCAGGCTGATGCACACTCCACTTGGTGACTCTACAGGAGACCTGCTGCGCAGGTTTTTTTCCACTTGATATTAGATCTGTAGGAGAAAGAGAAAACTTTAAAAGCCCAATCTAAATTCAGCTGCAGGAGGTAGCTTTTAATTGCACTTCGGATCAATACAGAAGCAATCTAACACTTGTTCTTGGTTACCAGGCAGGAGTTTGTACTTTTCCAGACAATTTTCCCTTGCTTTACAAATGTTCCCTTTTCCTTATTTGCTCACACAATCTGTATTCTCCATAATTTAAGTGCAGAAAAAACATTCATATCACTGGAGAACATAGCTGATTATCTATCTGTGCCACAGATTTTGGTACCTTATCAGCAGCAACAGCATGTTCAGGAAGTAATCCCAGCAGTTTAAAGTACTAGAAAAGTGTTAAAAATAGCAGTCGCAAGCCCTTATAGCATGTACTGAACTGATAAGTGTACAAAAGTAAAGGATAGCATTTTATTTCATATCCCAGCTGCATAAAACTAAGAGCAGGCCAAGAGGTAGACAGACATTAATAAAGCTCTATCCAGAATTCTCTGTTTAGAGAAAATGTGTTGCTGTAGCCCTCTTGTGTTCAGTTGGATTATCAACTATTCAATCCAGTGTCCTTCCTTAGAACCCTTTAAATAAAGGCTCTGTGTACTTCAACCACACTGCCATTTACTTCATTGCCCTCTACACCTTCCCTTAGTTTCTTTCATGCTTTTCCTCTTCCCATCCTGGTTGTAAAATCTAAGCATATTCAAAGACTACGCTTCTGAAACAGCAGAGTGCTCAGTTGGTAGAGTCACACCATAAAACAAGAGAGCTGCTGTTTTGGAGTATGAGGACTGAAACATCCCTCATTGCCTGTAAGCATGCTTATACTCCTAGCATTTCTTCTGCATAAATGGACTGTCATGAACACAATTTACAGTCTTGTTTCCCTCCTTTAGACACCTATGAGATGAAGTTTTAAAGTGAGTGCCCCACAGACACCATTTAGACATGTGCAATGTTTCTTTACCCCTACAGAGATGATCCTGACATTCTCCAAAACCTGTAAGTACTATCGACAGTCCTTTTGATCCCCAGTCCTTCCCTACCAATCACCAACATTAAGAACTCTGGTGTCCACCACTTAGTTGGGACACCGCACAGTCAGGGTGGTAAGTGGTCGTGGCTTTCCCAGTATTAGTTTCCAACCTGAAAAGGCTACACTAAACATAAAAGCAAGTTACGGCTGCATTGCTATGGGTGTTTAGTGGATGGACTCTTGTAAGTGAAATGAGGTAATGGCCTAAAAGGCACTCACCTTCCA